TCTATCTATAATTAAATTATTGAAAGAGAATTTTTATTATTCCATATATTTTAGGAGAATCGCCGATACGGATTGCGCGATATTGCTCGTTATTTGGGGTCGTTCGGTGTTTCGGCATTGATATTTATTCGAGGTTGTATTATGTTGTTCGATGTCGTTTAATGTCGCTCGGCCTGCCGTTATTTAGCACATAAGGCGTCTCCGTTATTAATTGATATATTAGATTTCATGATGAATCCGCCGATATATAATTTAGATATGAAATTGTCGATATTTTATATGTTCTCTAGGATATTTTTAAATATATTATAAATTATATATTTATATCTGAATTGATCTGAATATCTACGAAATATAGATTATATCTCTCTATGATGATGAAAAATATCCGATCTATGATTCTTGAAAAAAATTAAGAATATGGAGAAAGAAAATAATTATAAAATTAAGATATTTTATTCATATTAAATTTTGATTGAATTCTTTTCATGATATTTTCTTTTTAAAAGACTTAGAGAATTAAGAGATTAAATTTGAAATTCAAAAATAAATTCAAAAGAAGAATCTAGAAGATCTTAATCTTTAATTCATCTTGTTATTAAATAAGATTTAGATGGATCCTTATTTTGATAAGATATTCAATTTTTTTGTTTATGGTCATAACCGGAAATTTGAAAATATATTCTTATAAATTCTTGTAGAAGTCAAAGGTCTTAAATCGTATTTTGGATTAACAATATTCCGAAAATATTCTGAATATATTCCGAAAAAGTGGAGGGAACAATATTCTGAAATATAAGAATATTTTGAATAAGATTCTAGATCAGACCTTATAAGAATTTTTCAAGAACAATGCCCGAGAGATTGCCCGCACATATACGCGTAGATAGAAGGCACTCGTCAAAACCTACGTATGTTGAGGACCCTACTAATAGTGGAATGGCTGTTGCTTCTTGCACCCTGTTCATGTCAGGCCTACGAGTATTGCATGTTTGGCAGAGATGGTTGGCCGACCAGCTGCCCCGTCCGCGAAAGATATCTTTGATTTATTGTTGCCTGTGGGCTACCATGACGACCAAAGCTGCCTGGGATACCGCCAGGCGACCCATACGGGCAGAAGACTAGAGAGCAAGGGCCGCAGGGTGTTGGGGGGGCCAGGGTCGGGGAGGAGGTTTGAAGATGGGCGGAATTTTTTCGGAATATTTTTTTTTCCGAATATTTTTCGGATGATTTTTTGAGTAGATTGAAATTGGAGGAGAGCCATTTCTCCTCCCGAAAAAGTATTCTGGGAAAAGCGTTCCGAGACCATTCCCCAAAAAAAAGCGTTCCGAAAATATTCCGGTATCAGTCGGTGTTGCCGCCAGGAGGATACGGGAGCATTCCCTATGGAGGGTGCCGGGATACGTCAGGTTAAAAAGGAATTTGGGCGGAAGAACGTCCTTAGATAATTCTGCCGGAGATATAATGATCCCGCCGATCCCATATATGAAGTCCATTCTAGATATTATAATTTATTATTCCTTGATTCCCTGAAGATTTGTATATCTTAATCATATCTTCGTATAGATCATTCATCTAATGAAATATTTGGAAGATATTATCCCAATTATATGTTTCAATACGAAGGCCGCTTATGAGTTATATTTAAGTTAGGAGGCAATTTTTGGATTGCTTTCCACGGGCGAATGAGATCATTAATTAGCTGAAGCAAGAAATCAGCATATTTTGATCCAATCTTTTCAAGAATGCTGCCAAAATATTTTCGAGATCATATTTTAATTATTCTTGCCGTTCCTTATCTTTGACCATCAAAGATCTTAATTTATATTCTCGTATATTGACCCTGGAATTCAATCTTCGAATTTTTCGTTCTGGACCGTCCAATACCCCACAGAATCTCCAAAAGGAACAAGTCTCTTCGCCTCTTGATACGACCTTATACATTACGCCGCTTGGCAAAAATCTTTTTTCTTTCTTCGTAACACTTCACAACACTGCATCTCGGAAACGACCACTCCGTACATAAAAAGATTTGGATGGCGGGTCCAAGAGCCCTCCATATTATTAATTAATTCTAAATTTCGTCACTATTTGGGCCAAAGTATCATATTTTAGTTTAGAGATAACGATTTTCTCGTGTCAATAATTACTTCTAAATATCGTCCGAAATTTGGGGCAAATAATAGTCGGGGTAATTCTAGAATATATCCGTATTCTACCGAAATTTCAGAAGAATGTAATTCCATTACTTTTTTAAATTTCTCAATTTTTAGGTAACTCCCAATCTCGATATCATCAATAATAAATTTTTAAATATATATTTAAAGTATATCTATTCCATATATCAAGCTAGAATAATATCTATCATTTTCCCTCCATATTAGAAAATATTCAATTTCGAAAAAAGAAAAAATTAAAAGACCATAATAGTATTTTCTTATTTTTTTAAAAAATTAATAAATTTTCATATTTAAAAACCACTAAAATATGAAGTTATATAATTCATTCTATCCAAAGAAAGAAAACGAAATCAAAAAGTCTTAATTAGATCTGCAAATTTATATAAATATATTAGATATTTAATATTTTTTAATTAATTCATTTATCTTTTTCAATTTAATAATATATATATTTAATTCATCAATTAATATTTTTTTCAATTAATTCATTTATCTATTTCAATTTAATAATATATATATATATTTGTATGATACGCCTCTCTGGTTGGGATTTATTTGTGCATTATGCGACCATTCTCTCAAGACAGAGCTGGTCGAATAGCAACTCTAATTTGGCTGGCCAAGTGCCGGCCCCTTGTATCGCGAATTCATCCGAACCTCATCCACCGATTACATCTTAATAATTGCCCACCTTCCGCGGCTGGCCTTCAAAGTGCGTGGGCGACTACGCTTGGGTCCGACTACATGACCTCACCCTCGACCCAAAAAGCATGAAAGCTAAAATCCTTCGAAATCCTTCCTGCGAGCCCTCAACCCCATGGAAACTTGAGGATCGCGAAGAAGCCCCTAGACCCAAAAACCTAAATCCTGAACCCTAAATCCTAAACCTTCCCTGTCGACCGCTAAACCTCGAGAATAGTACGCCTAAACCTAACCCTAAACCCTAAAACCAAGACCTTTAAATCCCTGAGGCAGAAAAGCGCTCACTCAGGAGCCCAGCCTGAAAAAGCTGGTATTTTATCGGACTTTAGCGGTTTCTGTGTTCGGGGGATTTGGGGGGGGCAGGGACGAAGAAGTTGCAGCATTTAAGGTTGAGGGTGTCGTCTTTGAGTAGTTTCAGTCTATAAACCAGGCCTAAACGAGCCCTAAACCCTAAGCCCTAAGGACTCTCAAGCAAGCGCAGTCTGAGAACTGCAGGCTCCTATTTCAGAGTTTCAGATTCGTGTGTTTAGCGGCTCAGGTTGGTACAAGGGTTCAGGGGTAGTTGCCTTGCTTGGAGTATGAACAGCTTTGGCTGTTTCTGGATTTGGGCATGTGAGCGTTTTGCGTGTCTGTGTCCTTCGGTAACATCACGGCGTGAACTTCTTGCCTGCACCGTTCCAGGTCTTACTCAGCCGCGACCAAACGAGATAGCAACGGGGATGGCTGCATTGCCATGAAGCTGCATTCAGAGTCTCCCAGAGGGCAGAGGAGCTGTCCATCGTGAGGGGTGGAGGCCCTGGTGGCAGGATGCTCTGGATGCCAATCTCCAGCGCTGCACTACCACCTTACTCAAGCGGTCTTCCCCAAATCCACACCAGCTCGAAAGTCTAAACCTCGTACCACAGCTCGAAACAAGCTTACCCTAAACCCTAAACCCGAAATCCGAAAAAAACCTGAAATCTTTTTTCTCAAGCCATGCAGAGGCCCTCGACCCTATTATAACCCGCAGCCCTCAACTCTACATCCCGAATCCTGAGCCCAAATTCACCCAAACCCGAAACCCTTAATTAAACCCCTATGAACCCTATAAACCCTAAACCCTTAAACGCCTAAACCCCTATAACCCCTATACACCCTAAAACCTTAAACGCCTATAAACCCTAAACCCTAAACCGCTGAAGCTTCTGCAAAGCTTGAAAGGCCGTCCTCGCTCGCAGCGCCAGAGTTCCAGCAAAGGGCGCGAGGGGTCCTGGCTGACTGACTTCAGTCTCTTCGGTTCACGGTTTAGGGTTTTAGGGTTTAGGGTTTAGGGTTTAAGGGTTAGGGTTAAGCGCTTCAGGGGGTTTGGGGTTTAGGGTTTAAAGTTTAGGGGGTTTGGGGCTTAAGGCTTAAAGGTCTTATTCAACGACGGGCAGGGTTGCAGGCCACAAACACTTCATGCAGTACCCGAGCCCCCAAATCAACTAAGGACCTTTACGCTTTGGGGCTCCAAGTTCCCTTGTGGAATCCTTATAGATCCCTTTAAAGGAACCCCCTATAGAACCCTTTTAGATCCCCATGGTTCAGGCTTTTGATTCTGTAAATGGCCTTAAGAGTCTCTGGGTAAAACTCAGCACCACTTTTAGCCGATTTAGGGGTTTAGGGTTTAGGGTTTAGGGGTTTATGGCTGAGGCTCGAAATGAGGTTGTTGCTTTCTTCCGGATTATGCAGAGCTTGAGGCTACCAGGTTGTCTCACCCTCCAAGCTAACCATTGCCCCCCGGAAGTAAAGAGCTAGGAAAGCCTTGCACTCTGACGAAACCCCCGCCATTTTCTCCGTCCGAACGGAGGAAGAGTTGATTCAATGCGAGTGGCCGGTCGTCCTGGACTGATCTCACAACCAATAACCAAGACTGGTACTCCTGCAACAGTCCTGCAAATTATGTGGCAGCTTAGCGTTGGCGATGGGTAGCTCCCTTACAACAACGATCAAAGCGTCGAACATGTCAAGGACGATCCAGGCATTCCAACTTTTAAACACCGAAACTGAGCAAACACTGAAGGGAACCGGGTCGGACGTTCTCCCTTTGGAGGACTCCGAGGCTAAACCAAGCCAGGTGCGCCTCTGCACTAGCAGTCACTAGCATGCTAAAGGCACTGACTCAAGGAACCAGCTCTGCAAGAGCCGTGCAGGAGGACACGGCGTCGCGTGCAAGCCTCTCAAATAACCAGACCCCAAAAACGCACTCATCATGCCCAACATAAGATTACAAAAGATGCCGATGATGGTGAAATGTAGCCCAAAAGGCCACTCTCGCAAGCCGTAGAGCACCGGAGCAGGCACCAGGCGTCCAACCTGGCCCAATTTTCTTCGAAGCCGTCCCCATGTCGTGTCGTCCCTGCAATATGCGATGCTTTTGTGGAAGACCTGCTTCTCCGTGTCGCAGACTACCGACATGAAGTCGCCGGATGCATGACCGTGCCTCCGTTCTGCTGCTTGCAAGGCTCTGGGATGCATCTCCGACGTTGGATCGCGAAGCATCTCCGGCAAAACCGGGGCTTCCGGCAGCAGCTCATTCACGACGATAAGATCTTCCAGAACTTCGGTGCAAAGAAACCCGAGAATAGCACAGCCGGTGGCAAAATTGAAGGCAGGGGTTTGGGGATCATGGAAGGGCTTCATTCCATACATGACTGCCCTTGCAATCACGAGGGCCACGACTGGAACGAACCGGAAATAGCCTACAAAAACTTTCATTTCCTCATGAAGTTTTACCCAGGTGCTCGGACCGAAGAGTCCTCTTGCAAGAGAGGTGCCACATAAACCTCGAGCGATCTGGAAGAGAAAGAACCGAAACCAACTCAAGCGCAGTAATATGTTGGTCAGCAACGTAGACAGGGCGACCCCCACCCAGACGAAGGTGCCGTCCTTTGCCACACCTGCGAGAACTGCAGCCAAGTGCATGCACTCCGAGACGGCATGGTTGCAGGCCACCGAAGCTGTGACAGGGATGTATAGCTGATCTCCAGGTATCTTGCCCGTCCCTCCGCAACGGTTGGGCCAAGCAGCTCGGCAATAAGCCTCGCGTGAGATTGCGACAAATAGAAGCTCGCAGATCGCTGTTGCCATCGGAAGGAAGATGGTCGCTCCAACAATGTTGGCTCCAGAAAGCAAGCCGTTGTAAACGCCACCAATGATCAAGGAGAGGCCAACGTTGCCGAACGTGCTGACGCCCAAGCCCACCGTCCACAGGGAGGTCATTCTGATGTCCCGGGCGCTAGGTCCAGAAGGCTTGGTCCTGTAATAATGAACCAGAGTTGGCACGACAAGAATTGAGCAGCAATCTCGGCGAAAAACTGCGATGTGCCCAAGAGCAACAGCGGTGTCGTAGTCGCAAGAACTGCAAAGGTACCCACAAGCTGTATAAACAAGCCGGTCCTTTCACCTGCAAATGCAACTCCAAAGGCATCCACCAAGAGCTGCTGACAACAGATGCAAGAATAGATACACGAGATCACTCTCCCCCAGAGAATCTCAGAGGACCTGCTTGTCTCCACGTGGATAGACCAAAGCAGTCTCATGCAGAACAGGCATGTTTGCAAGCAACTACCTAGGATGAGGTACTTGGCTGAGAACGTACCGAAGGGCTTCATTTGCTCGTCTTTGACATCAACGCAGTGATTTTGAGCCTTCGGTATATCAGGATTCAGTAACACCGACCCCGACATCTCAACGTAGGCAAGACCGTCCTTGTCCAAAATGCGAACGTGCCTCAGATCACCTGTCTCAGAACAAATTTCAAGCCGATCCGTCACGCTTAGCACCATAGCACCTGGTCCGGTGCTGCTCCAATAGTGGCTGGATCGGGCGCCCAAACGTCGACCGAAGGAGGAAACTTGGACACAAGCGGCCGGAGTGCGCCAGAACAGACAACCAGTTGCGTCGTCATCAAACGCTACCACCGACACACGCTTGTCACCTCGGATAAGATCACGTTCGGTTATAACCAAACCATAAGATAACATCAACAAAATAGTAATAATGATAATAATAATAACAACAACCGCCAAGTTCCTTGAAGACCAAATGACCCCTATAAGCAAGGCCTAATTGTCGTAGTAGTTGCAGTAGTAGTAGTAGTAGTAGTAGTAGTAGTAATAATAATAATCGTAAAAGTAATAATCACATAATATAATATAACATAATATAATATAATTAATATAATACAATATATACTATACTATAATATAATATGTTATAATGTAATATAATATAATACAATATAATACAATATAATACAATATAATACAATATAATATGATAAAACATAGTATAATATAATACAATATAATAACAATAACAATAATAATAATGACAACAACAATAACAATAACAATAATACAATCAGCAGCATAAGAATTAGACTAATCAGGAAAAGAAAAATTGGAATGATAACGGAGACAACAATAATAAGAATAATAACAACAATAATTATACTACTGAACATCTTTACGATCTGATATAAATCAACATCACTATGACTAATATGTAATGTAACCTACACCACCCCTGAAGGCTCTCAAACGACAGGACCAAAACGACGTGCTGCATGAGAACTTCTAGGGATTAGGATGATTGAGGGCTGCAGGTTTAGGGTTTGGTGGTTTAGCGTTTAGGGTTGGGCCTTAAGAAATATTGAATTAGAAAAGGTACGTTAAGGTTTCTTTGAAAGGTTCACTAAGGGTGCTATGATATAGGGGCCTTCCTGCAGGGCTTTTGAGGCACATTAACTTTTTTCCCCAAACAGCGAAGTATTGGGGTTCTCAATTTGTGCAAAGAGATGGATAGTGTGACGCGCCTCACCGGGGACTAGCCGGATTTGTCTCCCTTCATAAACTCAATGTAAACTGTTGTCTCCGATGTTGTCT